CCCACCTGAAAATGTGTTCTCTGCAGGCCTGGTATTTGTCTCTCTTCGATTCCATGTCAGATCCACCCTCCATGTTACTGAGGGTTACACCAGAGCTTGCAGCACAGCTCCAATGGTGGAACATGCCAACCACTCTTTTCATCAGCAGACCCTTTGCACCTCTCCAACTTACCATACAAATAACAACCAATGCAAGCCCAATCTGATGGGGTGCTCACTGCAATGGACTACACTTTCACCCCCTGTGGTCTCCCTCTGAGAAACTGCTCACATAAACAATTTAGTACTTCTAGCAATATTGAAGGCTGAAACCGTTAGTCATTGGGACCACTGTTCAGATTACGACAGACAACACCATGTCCTTCTTCTATCTCAATAAACAAGGCGGGATACACTCCTTTCCCTTGCTTTACCTTACTGTCCAGCTCTGGGAGTGGTGTCTCGAGTGCCACATATTCCCAATAGCAGTTCATATCTCCACTTACCACAATCACTTAGCGGACTCTCTCAGCAGACTTGGTTCGCAGACGCTCAAATGGTCCCTTGACGACTCCATCTTTCATCATCTAACCACTCTTCGTATCAACAAAACACAAAATGTCCCCTCTATTGCTGCAGAGCAGGGATAGGCCCCCAGCTCCATCAGAGATGCTCTGATGACACAAAGGACGTTAGGTCTGATTTACCCCTTTCCTCCGATCCCTCTACTCCTAAGGACTATCATAAAGCTTCGCCAGGAACAGTCCAACACAATTCTCATTGCCCTGTGGTGGCTGAGACAAACATGATTCACCATGCTCTGCTGCATCTCCGTGGACTTCCTCCGTCTTCCCCCAATACCTTCTCATCCAGAATCAAGGTCAAACCTTCCACCCAGATCATCTCTCACTCCACCTAACAGCATGGAGAATTCACGCTCAATAGCTGCCATCCTGGCTCAGGCCAGAAAACATGACACCACACAGCTTTATTCATATAAATGGGCTGCCTTTCTTAAACGGTCATACAATTTGTAGCTCAGCATCCTCTCCCTGCTGCACTTACAACTCTTCACACCGTATTGCAATTTCCTACTCATATCTTCGGTAAACATTTATCCTTGTCTACTATCAAGGTCTATCTATCAGCCGTAGCAGCTCATCAGCTGCCTGATTCCCAAACCTCTTCACTCTTTTGTCACCCTACGATAAAACAGTTTTTAAGGGGTCTCCAATCTATGACCCAACAGACCACGCCTCCTTCCGCAGTGGTCACTACATGCTGTTCTATGGAGCCTAATGTCACCGCCCTTTGAACCCTTCGCCACAGTGTCTGATCGCCTTCTTGCCTACAAGACCCTTTTCCTTGTGGCTATTACTTCTGCTCATAGAACCTCAGAACTTGCTGCACTCAGAAGTGACCCACCTTTTCTTCAATTTTATCTGGACACGGTCACTCTTTATCCTGATGTTTCTTTTCTTCCAAAGGTTGTTTCTGAGTTTCACCTAAAGCAACCCATCATTCTACCAACCTTTTTTCCATCACCTGTTACTGATTTGGAGTGTTCTCTCCACCTCTTAGATGTTAGGTGAGAGTTGGCCTTCTATGTTTCAAGGACCGCCTCTTTCCACAAATCCAAGAGACTTTTTGTTTTTCCACACTTACCACACAGAAGATGGTTTATCTCCTCCCAAACCATATCTAAGTGGCTTGATCGACCATTTGCCTAGCATATCAGTTGGCTAAAAAGCCTGTTCCAGTTGGAATTAAGGCTCATTCTACGAGGGCAGTGGCTACTTCGGCAGCATTCCTCAAAAACCTTCCTGTCCCTGATATTTGCAGGGTTTCTACATGGTCCACGCCATCGACTTTTGCCTTCCATTACCAGTTGGACCTCCGGGCTAAGTCTGATGCTGCATTTGGACAAACCGTCCGCTCGTCTGTTCTTCCATGAAGTCCCTCCTCCGTTCAGGTAAGATTGTTAATCACCCATTAGTGTGCATTCACAGAGACCACAAAGAAGAGAGGTTACTTACCTGTAACTCTGTTTCTTTGAGTGGTCATCTGTGAATTCACACTTCCCACCCATCCTCCCCTCTGTCCGTCATGTCTGTCTCATTGATTCAGTGTTGGGCAGTTTGGGAACTGAGGCACTAGCCAGGACGGGCGGACCATGTGTACTAGGGGGGCTGTCCTGACGAACCAATGTTAAGCTCTAGAAGACTCCGGAAACCTCTGCGCAGGCACAGATTAACCCATTAGTGTGAATTCACAAGATGACCACTTGAAGAAACAGAGTTACAGGTAAGTAACCTCTCTATTCCCCTAAGTTTTGGTCTAAGATAACCACTTGAAGAAACAGAATTACAGGTAAGTAACCTCTCTATTCCCCTAAGTTTTGGTCTTCAAAACAAGCTGCTTTTGCACAGTTCTTTCAAATTCCCCTTTACTGGTGCAGTTTCATGTGCTGTACCAAAGATGTTTCCTAGTTATCCATTCATGTTCAGAGTTTTTTTAAAGGTATAGAAGGCTGTGCAATGGAAATGAATGGGTTGAAGCATTCATTGCATGGGCAAAAGCCAGTCTTTATAACCAAGCCAATGGATAAATAGTAACCCCAAGTATATACTGTATTACAATAATTATAAACTGCTTCAAATGCTGTAACTTAAACTGAATACAGTAAACACATTTTTATAAAACTTTTACAACTGTGTTAAAGAAATATTTTTAGAAATGAGGGATGGCTGCTGTTTTTTGTGTTTATAGTAAAAATGTTTCTTTAACACTTAAGTTTGGATTTTCTGCAAATATAAGATACACATGCCTATATTTCTAACTTAACTGTTCTGAATATTGGGTATTGTTAGTTTGTTGTTGTTGTTTTTAGTCATTTAGTCGGGTCCGACTCTTCATGACCCCATGGACCAGAGCACACCAGCCCCTCCTGTCTTCCACTGCCTCCTGGAGTTGGGTCAAATTCATGTTGGTAGCTTCAGTGACACTGTTCAAATGTTGGTTACATAAGTTATTAAAACAGCTGAAACATCTTGAATGTTCAGATGTGGATTCCTTTGCTAGAAATATCTACTGCCAGAGACAAGTACTCTGACTCCATTTTGTATTCCTTTATGACAGGACGGATTTGATTTAATTCAAAAAGTCAGGTATTTTAACTGATTTAAATAAAAAAATTAAAATTTTAATTGTGATTTAAACTTCTTTTTTAAAAATCATTTATTTTTTATCCATCCTGCTTTATGAGCACTTTGGCTTGAAATACTCAATTTCTCTGGGGAGAAAGGCTAGCAAGATATGCTGAACTGGGACTAAATGTGTGTGAAATTTCCCACCAGACCCTTAATTGAAAGGGTAATAGGTATCCCCACCTTTTATACACTGGTGGGGAACCTCCTATAATTGCTGATGTTTGATCTCATATCTTTCCTAATCACTTGTGTACCATCATGTCATATCTGATTTATGACAGTTCTATAAATTGGCAATCTCTAAGCCTTCGTGGATACAATCTCTAAATTGTTCCTGATCTCATTAAGATTTATTACTGAGATTGAAAAGCACCAGAAAAATAGAAGCTTCTTGACAGGGGCCGAAAGGAATACTGTGGAGGTGGGCTGATGCAATCTAGCACAGGTTGACTCTTCACCATCTTTATAAGTACACCAGCCCATCTCTGCAGTGGTCTAAAGAGTGTGCAAAAATCCTGTGCAGTCAGCCTCTAAGTGGGAGTTAAGAAATAGGAGAGCAAATCAAACCTAGTTTATTTGATCTATTAATTGGCTAAAACCAGTCCTGAGATATTGACATTTTCTTAGAAAATCTAAGAAACAGGAATGGGAGAACAACAGATTCCTGTTTTTCCATTTCCAGTGGTCACCATCTTAGCTAAGGATGTCTATATTCTCTTCTTGCCTTTTTGGATATGCAATGTTGCTGTGGACTCCCACCTTTCTTCTCGACATTTCAGTATATTTAAAGATGGAAAAGTATATCTAATTTGTCAGGTATTCAATTTTCTGCTATACTGTCCCCAATTTTCTTCTGAATGCCTAATCACTTTGCAGTGTCTTTTGTACCATCACTCCTCATCTTCTCTCCCTCTTATCCCTGAATCAGCCATCAATAATTAATTATTTTCTCTTTTGTGATACATTTTTCTGAAATGCAGTTTTTAGAAAAGCCCTTGTCTCTGTAGCTGTCCATGTAGTTCATGAAAAAACTGTACTACACTGACTAAGCAATTTAATGTTGTGCATTGGTGCTGTAGTGTGTTAGGAAAACAAGATTTTTTTTGTTAGCTCTAGTGAATATTCTTATAGATAGACAGCAGAAGAGAGTCAGTGTTTTAGTGGGAAACTGTTCCCTTAGCCCATTTAAGTTGTGCCTACTCCAACTGTTTATGTTCTCCAGGGGTTTACTCAATGAACACATGATGTGTACAGAGAGGAATGTCCTGAGCAAGTATAGTTGTTGTTTAATTAAGTTGTCCAACTCTTTGTATCCCCATGGACCAGAGCATGCCAGGCCCTTCCGTCTTCCACTGCCTCCCAGGTTTTGGTCAAAATCATGTTGGTCGCTTCAATGACACTGTTATCAAATAGTATAGTATAGTCATATAGTAGATGACACTGTCATCGCAAGTATAGTAGCAGATCTTAAATTTACCCTGTGTATTTTAACAGTTCTAGAACCATCATTCCTAAATTGGCAAAGAAGTTTTGGAAATCTGTTCTGTAAGTATAATTGTTTTTAATAGAATATGTGTGTGAAGGATAATTTAGAACAGTGATTCCCAGGTATTTTGGACTACAGAAATCCTGACTAGCACAGCTAGTGACGAAGGCTTCTCAGAGTTTTTTTGTCCAGGAACATCTGGGAACCCTAGGTTGGAATCACTGATCTGGAAGAACAAATGTCCCTGCAAAAAATAAAAAATAAAAAAAATCTCAGTGGTGCATCAAAACTAACACTTTGTTCCATTTTATGTTTTCCCATTTCAGGTGCCTTAGCTGGACCAGTAGTTGATCCACATGTGAAAGCAGTCTGGGGGAAGAATGTTACACTGAAGTGCATAATTGATATAAATGAAACATTAACACAAATTACATGGGAGAAGATACATGGAAAGAGCGTGCAAACTATTGCTGTTCATCATCCTGAATATGGATTTTCGGTTCAAGGAGAATATCAAGGAAGGGTATCATTGAAAAACACATCACATACTGATGCATCAATCATCCTAGCAAATGTTACCTTCTCTGATTCTGGTGAATATGTATGCAAAGCAGTTACATTCCCTCTAGGAAACTCACAGTCATCAACAACTGTATCTGTTTTAGGTATGCTTATTTAATTTTATTTCACTTAAATATTTGAAGATAAAAATGAAAACTGGTAGCTTAGAAGTCACTTATATGTAAGTTTGTATATTTGTGAACAGAAACATTCCTGTTAGTGAAGGCAACTGCTGGCAGAAGATGGTCAGTGATTTGCCTAATGTGATTGGAACTTACAGTTCTTCAGATGTTATTTATCTGTGCTATATAGTTATCCATTTTAATCACTTGTTTATGTTATCACAGGCTCACTCCTAAAAGTACTAAGAAACTTTTTTGTTGATAAACAAAATGTTGTGAATTATTATGGAACTAGTCCCTGTAGTTCTTCATCATGGTCTCTGTAAATCACACATTGGGTTCTCTTTGTGCTTGCACAATAATCCTCAGAATATCTAGAGCTTAGTGAAAGCAAATACTCCACTCTCTTCCCCAATAAGCATGCTCCCTCTCAGGGATCCTCCATGAGATCCTTCTTTTCTGCCACAGAGGTAACATCTCCAGAGAGCATCTTGAGTGTCTTTTTTTTAACTGGTGACACAAACAGTTATTAACCTGTTTGTGCTTGTTCCTCTCTGCCTTCTATTTTTTCTATTTTTTTCCCTTAAAAATTTAGTTGCAGTTATCGTTTTCACACCCTTTTCCCCTGGACCCAGAGAGCCTATTTAAAAGGTGTGAATCCTGTTCCAACTTAGATCCTGTTAGCTGTTGGCCATTCCATGTACTCTTGCTTTGGGAAGGGCCACAGGCCACAAATCTTGCTCTGTTCACATGAGATTTACTGAGATTACCCTCTATAACAAATAATCCTGGCTCAAGTACTTTCTTTGGGAGAGATCCCTACAAGATGGGGACTCCTGTCCTCAGGCAGTCTGGGCCCACACTAAGCTCTTGGTGTATAAGACCCCCCTGCAGGAAATCCTTGATGAGGGCCCTGATGCAACTAGACCTGCATGTTTCATCAGCTCAGGGATCGAACCCCAATATTTCACCTGGCAAACCTACAAAGGATGCATTGGTTCCAAATGCCTCAGTTTGGTTGGTATCAATATTGAAGTTGCTGGCTTCAAAAAAAGATGCAGAAAGCCTCATATCCAAACACTCCCAAAGCTAAGAAGTCAAAGGGAAAGGTAACCTAATCGTATCTTCTCTTATTTAACTTCCTCAGATACTGATGTAAGCAATAGAAGTCTCCTTTTGCCATTAGAGGACACTAGATCCTTTTCAAATCTTACACTGCACATGACTGGGTTTTTGCATTTGAAATCAAGAGATCTTCACCTGAGACTGACCCTGGTTTTGATAGGATTAAAAAAATATGCCATTTCTCTGGTCCAGATCTCACTTCCTTGCTCAACCTGATTAAGAAATTGTGGCAAAAACTTGTTTTACCTCCCACATCCTGACATATCAAAAACCTGTATAGGGTATGGGAGGAAGAAGCTAGCGTCATTTAAAAATCTGCAGCTCAACTCTTTTATTGTGGATGTGTCCCAAATATGATCCAAGGTAGCAAGCATACTACAATCGTCAAGGAAGGGAGAAAGATGAATCTATTGGTCATCACATTTATTTCACTATGGCATTACGTTGTAAAAATACAGGTACATTTTACTCTGGCAGGAACCAACTCTTTTTGGGTATCTGGATTGAGAGAGAGAATTAATCACAACCTGACACAGTAAATTGGATTTTATATTATGTAAGGTTTATTGAAAGATAATATTTCCTTTGGGCCCCTGAAGATATGGATCTATCCAGAGATGCACCACCAGCTCCGACGCTTGAATCCACTCTCTCTTCATCAGCCTACAAACCCTCATGCTTAGAATCCTTGAGGTTGAAGGATTCGACTTTGAAAGTCGCGGCCCTAAAGACCTTGACTTTCCACTACTATTCTAAGAAAGAAAAAAGCATGAACCCAATGCCGAGTGCTCACCTAAAAGGCTTCATTAGGATCGGGATCTACCAAAACCTATGGCTTCCCAGGATGGAGACCCATTGAATGCCACTCCCTCCCAAGTAGTCACCAAGATTATCTACCATCTGATGATGATGCCCTTGAGCTCAGAGATCATCCTCCTTCCCCCACCTTCAGCCATTGCCCCAATTGGGTCAGGGCAACCTCCTCACTCTCCCTTTTCTTCTGCTTCTCCATCAGCTTCTCCTGAACACATGGTGCTTTGTCAACCTTTCCCTGCAAGGCCCTGATGAGAGCCCCTCTCCCACTTCCTCCTGGGCTCCGAGAGCAGCTCAGTATCCTGTCCATCATCACTGAGCCTACCATCCTAGAATACAGTTTCTTGTTACGGTCCTTAGACCAATCACACAGGGAAAAAACATAGAAGTTTACAGTTTCTAAAATTCCAAATACCTTATAAAACATTTTACATTAAAAGACCATTTAAAATCTAGTATCTAGGTACCATAACATTTCAAAATTTCAGGTACTGTACTTCATTAAAAAAAATGACAATTAAAACACAATTTAAAACCTCATAATCACATGTTTCCTTACCTACGGTCCTCAGACCCACCATACAGAAAAATGGACAACCCAGTTCCATGCAATCTCTGCAGTACGTAATAACATCAAACTTAGACATAAAACAAACAAGTATACAACAATTATAAAACAAACAAGTATACAAGCAATTCCTTTTGTTTCTGATCATGGGGCATTCTTGGCAAAGATACTGGAGTGGCATTGCCAGTTCCTACTCCAGGTGGATTGCATTTAGTCGGAACTCTCCACTATGTCCTGTCCGTCTTGGGTGTCCCTGCACGGCATAGCCTATAGCTTTTCTGAGATACTCAAGCCCCTTCGCCACGACAAGGCAGCAATCCATGAAGGGGAAAGGAAGGTTATGCTCAAAATCCTCCAAGGTAGGCTTCAGCAGTATGTGGACCGAGAACTCCCAGAAGTACAAGCTGGATTCCGAAGAGGCAGAGGCACTCAAGACCAGATTGCTAACTTGCGCTGGATTATGGAGAAAGCCAGAGAGTTCCAGAAAAATATCTACTTCTGCTTCATTGACTATGCAAAAGCCTTTGACTGTGTGGACCACAACAAACTATGGCAAGTTCTTAAAGAAATGGGAGTGCCTGACCACCTTATCCATCTCCTGAGAAACCTATATGTGGGACAGGAAGCAACAGTTAGAACTGGATATGGAACAACTGATTGGTTCAAAATTGGGAAAGGAGTACGACAAGGCTGTATATTGTCCCCCAGCTTATTCAACTTATATGCAGAATACATCATGCGGAAGGCTGGACTGGAGGAATCCCAAGCCGGAATTAAGATTGCCGGAAGAAATATCAACAACCTCCGATATGCAGATGACACCACTCTGATGGCAGAAAGTGAGGAGGAATTAAAGAACCTTGTAATGAGGGTGAAAGAGGAGAGTGCAAAAAACGGTCTGAAACTCAACATCAAAAAAACTAAGATCATGGCCACTGGTCCCATCACCTCCTGGGAAATAGAAGGGGAAGATATGGAGGCAGTGTCAAATTTTATCTTCCTGGGCTCCATGATCACTGCAGATGGAGACAGCAGCCACGAAATTAAAAGACGCCTGCTTCTTGGGAGGAAAGCGATGACAAATCTGGACAGCATATTGAAAAGCAGAGACATCACCTTGCCAACAAAAGTCCGAATAGTCAAAGCTATGGTTTTTCCTGTAGTGATGCATGGAAGTGAGAGCTGGACCATAAAGAAAGCAGACCACCGAAGAATTGATGCCTTTGAATTGGGTCACGAAGAGTCGGACACGACTAAACGACTAAACGACGACGACGATACAAGCAATTCAAAACTCTCCATTCCAATACCAGAGTCAAGTATGAGGAAATTTCTGAAATTTGAGAATCACAGACAGAACCCAGCTACCTTGTATGATATCTTACTATCCCTGTCTGAGAAGAGATACTCAATTCTAGTTTTCTCTGATTGGCCAGGGATGTTTTCAGTCAATAGGGTAATAATATGATTTTGTGCTACTGCACAATGGGGCAGTGGTAAAAGATGTGCTCCATGGACTTGACCTTGCCGAGGGAGCAGGAACACAGCTGCCTCTCAGCAAGTGGAACATTCTTGTACTTCCCTTCAGGCATAGCAGAGGGGAGGACAGTACACTTTGCCAGAGTAAAAGCTCCCCTAAACTGTTTTAAATCCAGTGATGTTAGATAATTAGCTGGTTTTATAACATTTTTAATATTGACCCTTTCCATAGTGTTTTGTAAGTTGGCAAGATCTAATTGGTGCTCAGTAGTATCCTCAGTTCTTAACAGGGTTTTTGTTTTTTGGCCTGGTCTAATCCATATAATAAAATGGTGTGGGGATAGTCACCAACTTTCATCATATAGCTCTGAACAAATATGTCCTAGTTCGATTGGAAGTTATCAGTGAATATTGGGATAAGATAGGCCTTAAACAATGTGTATAGAGAGAGAATGCTAATCCAGGCTTCTACTTTTAGGCATCCTATACCCAGTTCTTATCCCGGCATTTGAGACACATCTGAGAACCTGTAAAATTCTTCTTAAAAATTTGGATTGTAAAATTGTTCTTAAAAATTTGTACCTTTCCTGAGGTGCAAAATGTGTGCTGACTGGCCCTGAGAATAACCCATATAACAGTTGGGGTAATGTCTTAGTCTTATAGAGTTTTAGCACTGCTGAACAAGCCTATCATCCTTCGGAAACCTATCAAGCCTAAGAGTGGCTCAAACCTGGGGCAACCAGTACATATTGCCATCCTTACTACTTTGGTGAGCACATTGGGTCACACCATGGGATGCCTTGAACCTCCCCCAACAGGTTCTGCGCCTCTGCTTCACAGTTGGTTTCTCTCCACCGACCTCAGAGTTTTTCCCTGGGCTACTATCACAACCATCATTCTGTTTTGGACACTCATTTCAGTGCTGATACAAGCCTACTTTCACCTTGGTAAGGCCTGCGTTTCTCACGCTTGAGCCAACCTCTATGCCACCTGTAGCTTTGGCATTGGCACCCTTGAAATCCTGCTCCAAGCGGCACTAACTTAATTCCAAATTGCCTTCAGCTCTTGAACCCCTAAGCAGCCTCAACTCCACCACTGCTGGTCCCCAGGAACCATCCGCCCAGACCCAACCATTCTGTTTTGGCCATTTTTGGGGGGGTCTCAGCATTCGCCAGAGCCTGCCCGGCAAGAACAGGGCCAGTCTTTGGATTCCAAGGACACTCCTGATTCTCAGGTGGCATCCAGCCCTCAGGATCTGATTATCACCCTGGAGTCTGATGTGGTGGACAGTTGCCCACCCTCTACCTCCCCAGATCTCCAGTACTATTCAGACCTTACACTGCGTCTTGCCAAGCTCCCTCCTCAGCACTCTGATTAGATAGACAAGACATCCACTGCCCCAGTCTAACTGGCTATGATGCCCTGTGTAGTGAACATCGCCAAGGGCCCCTGGGACAAGCTGTCACTTTTAGCTCTAGAAGGTTTGAGGATTTGTGCAAGTGCAGAATGCTACCCATTAGTGTGAATTCATGGACATCTATTCAAAGAACCATAGTTAAAATAAGAAACTTGTCTTTTCCTATGTATGGTGTTAAAACAGACTGTTGAAAATTGTGACTCTGACTCTGGTTGTTCTTACCTGTTTGGAACTCTGCTTTTGATGTGGCTGATACATGGGAAATACACTGTAAAGAGTGCATCAGTAAAGAGTTAATCACTGTTAAACCTTGCTTGTTTTTTAGTTCCTCAGAAGAATCTTTGTAGCATGCAAGCTGGAACAATTTTTTTTTAAAAAGTTCAGATAATTTCATATGCTTCCAAGGAATAATTCACCCTTAGTTTGAATTCACAATGGTTTGAAGCAAGACATTTAATTGTCTGGTGCTCAGAGCAATCCTGGAAATTTTATTTAGATACGTTTATTGATATGATTACTGATCAAGATTTTTTTTCTATAGTTGAACCAATCGTGAGTCTAAGAAAAGGACCAAATGATTTAATAGATGGCGCCAATCAGACGGTTGCAGCCATTTGCACAGCAGCTACTGGAAAACCAGCTGCCGAGGTCATTTGGGAAGGTGACCTTGGTGAGATGGAAACCACTTCCACTGCATATTCAAATGAAACTGTTACAGTGGAAAGTCGATATAAACTTGTCCCCACAAGGTTTGCTAGAGGAAGACGTATAACCTGTGTTGTGAAACATCCAGCTTTGGAAAAGGAGATAAGGATGCTTCATGTGCTGGATATTCAGTGTAAGTAATTGCTGTATGCTCTGTAACATTGTCACTTCCTGTAGGAAACAGCTAATAAATGCTAGGATGTCCTTCTAGTATAAAGTGTTATATTTTTCTTGTTTGGAAATTTTGAACTATGTGAATGTTTTATGTAAAAGTACAAATTGTAAATGAAACATTTAGATGTTGTCTCTGTTTAAAACTGTAAACATGAAGATACATACAATCTTGTTTTGAGTCTCTAAACATATCTCACAACAGTGATGTATTGTGTGCATAATTATATTGGTTACTTTATTTTGCATTTATTTTATGGTATTTTTTTTACACCTTTATGTTTTATGGATGTTGTTGAGTTTTTTGTGATGATGTTATTGTCATTGTTTTGTTGTTGTAAACCACCCAGAGTGGCCTTGGCTGCCAGATGAGCAGTATAAAAATTAATAAAGTAATTAATTCATTAGTGAAAGAAAGAAAGAAAAAGTGTATTCTGTCCTAAAGAATGGAATTGAGGAAATAATTAGGAATTTTTATAAGGAAAATCCTTTCTGTTAAGCCTTGGTATTATTTATTATATCATATGAATAACAGACCGATTTTTGGAATTCAGAACTCTGGGTGCAGTGAGCTGGTATATACCCCCCACTCCCTTCTTTCTTGCAATGTATTAAAATGTTCAAAATATGAACAAAGATTTTCAAGCAGCTAGATAGATAGTTTGTTTCTTGTAACATATAACATTGCCAATTTTAGCTGAATACAGTTAGCTGATCATGAGGCTTCTGAACAAATATACAAAAATGTGGTTGAGTCATTTCCTATTGTACAACAAATCATGAGACTGAAGTGTGATAAAAATGTCAATACCAGCTATGATTCTGACCATTGTTTTTATAATATAATGGTGACCATTTTGTCACAATGGTATGGTTCCTCCAAGGAAGAATTTAAGGTTAATTTTGGTCAGGACAGTGTTAAGAAGTTGGGACTTTGGCATACTCATTTAATGGCTCCAATTAATATCAGTTATTAATTATATATAGTGTGTTGCATTGGTAATAATTATATCAATAGCATTAATTTGATCTGTCAAAACTGCAGAATAAGAATCTGAAGGTTTGTACATTCAAAGTACAGTGGGGTCTCTACTTAAGAACATCTCTACTTAAGAACAATCCAACTTAAGAACAGCTCCATTTGCTAAATTTTGCTTCTACTTGAGAACAGAAATCCAAGATAAGAACAGGAAAAAAGAACCTTTCCTGCTCTTTTTTTAACCGTAGGTCATCTTAGGTTAAAAAAAATTCTCCCCCTAGTGGTAGAGTACATATTAACCAGCTTTGCATTAGTTCCTATGGGAACTAATGCTTCAATGTACGAACACACCTCTACATAACAAAAAAACAGCCAGAACGGATTAGTTGGTTTTCAGTCCATTCCTATGGGAAATTTTGCTTCAGCTTAAGCACGTTTCAACTTAAGAACACCATTCCAAAATGGATTAAGTTCTTAAGTAGAGGTTCCACTGTAGTTTCTATGGACGGAAAAGAGCAGATACAGATTAAATGGTTTTCAATGCATTCCTATGGGAAATGCAGATTCAACATAAGAACTTTTCAACTTGAAAACCACCTTCCAATACGGATTAAGTTCTTAAGTAGAGACCCCACTGTATGTTCTAGAATAATAAACAGTTTTTCTAGGCAAAATGGTGTTTGTTTATTCTGAGGATGCTGATAACTTGCAGGACATTTCCAGTTATTTAATATATGTTTGCTGCAACATATTTTAACAAATGATATTCCAGACTTGAATATATGGCCTATTGTTCAAATGAAATGCACTAACTGATGTCTGATCTAGATAATCATTATAAAGTATCCTAGATGTTTAAAGACCTATTTGTCTACCCTTTGTACAAGAGATTTCCCAATTACTGATTACATTTCTTGATGAAATCAAATTTAATGTGTATAAAGCTTGCAGATCAACATAGGTGTGAGATGAACAGTCAGATATGCTATTAGGTGTCAGTGCTTTAAAATTCTGAAAAGTTTTAAGCGTAAACATGTTTAAAGTGGTCAGAATCCACACAAGCTTATTCCTGGTCTGTGAATTTGAAACAGTTTTTTTATCTCATGTGTAGTAGCTTAAATACATGTATATTTATAGATTCCCCTGAAGTTACAGTTACTGGGTATGATGGAAACTGGTATATTGGAAGAGAAAATGTGTTGCTCAGGTGTAATGCTGATGCAAATCCACTGCCAATGGAGTTTACATGGAGTCGGTAAGTTCTTGCCTAAATAAATGTGATAATACTCTGTGTTTTTTGGGAAAAACTCTTGCAATGTTGTTTTTAAATTCTAGGAGCTTTATTTCTAAAATACTGCTCCTGTATTTCTTACCTATCAACCCATGATGGAGTGAGGACTTTAGCCCTCTGGGAGTTGCTGGCCTGTAGTTTCCCACCATCATCTACTATCTGGAGTTTATGGTTGTTGGCATCCAGCAGCACCTTCTTGTCTCTGTTGTGCGTAATGAACTTAGGATCCCAAATTATGGAATTCATTACTGCAATGTATAGCATATTTATAGACTTAATACAGATTTTAAAGAAGAATTTAGAAATTAAATCATAATCGCTTAATCAGTGAGTGTTAATCATGACAGCTCTGTGTTCAGTGTACTGACATGATATACCTTTAGTTTGCCAGTGGGCAGAGGCAAACAGACTTTATATGTTTGAATCTCCCAGAAGCATGTAACTGGCCTCTGAGATTAAGTGTTCTTTTGTTTTGACAGTGAGACAAATACTGTTAAGCAGCATTATTATCATCTGAAAGATTACCTATAGAATTATACAGTGCTTTTTGGAGACATGAAAATGTTTCCTTTTATCCAGATACTTCATAGCATAATGCAGAATACAGTCTGAATCATCATCATCATCATTTTAGAACTACAAAGCTGGAAGGAACGCTATGGATCATCAAGTCCAGCCCCTGTTAAGGAGAAACAGTGGGGAATTGAACTCCCAACCTCTGGCTCCACAGTCAGATACCTAAACCATTGTGCTATACAGTAGTTTGTAACTTACAGATACTGTAAATTATTTGTTCCAATGCAGTGTTGAAATGATAAGGTTGAATTGGTTAACAAATATAGCCAGTTTTAGCAGACGTTACAGATGTTGGAGAAAAAAGTGATGCGGTGATCATTATATGTCTATTTATTTAAATATAGCCTTTTACATTTCTGATGATTTTTTATAATTTTGAGTGGAAGACTTTTGCCAGTTATATATTGATCAAAAATGATATATTCGGTAAATTTTAATGACAGTTCTGAGAAAATTTCTGTGGGCAGTTACTGTAGCTGTAAATAGCTTAGCGAGTTGGGTACCAGGCTGCAGAGCAACAGGTTGGAAGTTTGATTCCTTACAGTGCCTCTCAAGAGAAAAGCCAGCCTATATAGCATTGGGCAAGCTGCACAGTCCCATTCCTAAGTGCTGCGTACCTAGAAAACTGTGGAAAGAGTCACCTTAAATCAGAACTATTATTATAAATGTACAACACTGTAGAATGTTGAATAAAGTCTTTCAATTAAAAAAATCACTATTTGTTACTATTTAAGAGCTGTCTCGTAAATAGATTATTTAATAGTGTTATTGTAATTTCACTGTATTTACAAGCAAATCAGATGCAGTTTTATCTTAATCTATTTGTATTGCAGTGTTATTTGAAGTTAAATTCCTGAAATTTATATATCTTTGTGGTGCCGTCCATTAGTTAAAACCCCGTTGCTTAGCACAGTAAATTGCAAATGCTGAAGGTCTATTGAATCAGTGGGGGTTTGGCGAGTCTCCTCTGTAAGTGCCATTAATTCAGTGGACCTGCTCTAGCTGGGACTTACTGTGCTAAGCTACAGAATTTTATCCAGTATTTGCTTACTCGGGAACAAATCTCCTTGATCTCAGTGTTTTATTCACAGTCCCAGTGAGCTATTTATAGGACTTCAGGCTTAATTAGGTATGGGACTTCTGGGGAAAACAAAAGCCCCATACCTTTGGGAGGCCCATAGCTTGACAAGAACCCCCTAGACCAAATTATAGAACTGGGTGCTGTCAAAATGACAGGAGGTAGAGCAGCCTTCTTCCATGCAGTTACCACTCTGCTTCTTTACGCCTTCTGAAAAGTACAGAGTACCTTAGCAGATCTCAAGGACTCAGAGAGACTTGCAAAATGCATGAAGAACGAGTTCAGGCAGAGGCTGCCTCCTGCCTTTTTAATAGTTCCCGGTCCAATAATTTGGCCTGAGCGGTTCTGCCAAATTATAGGATTGGGAGTTCATTTTTTTCCATTCCCAGTCTTCATGTTTATGTAGTAATGAAACTGATATGTAAACACAGTGCAGAATGTAGCAACAGGTTTTTTTCCCTTTCAAAACATTTTTAAAGTATTCTAAGTTTTAAAGCAAGAGGGATATACCTTTTTCTTTTCACATATCATGGAGTGCTCCTGCCATTATGTCAGATGAAATTTTTTGAGGTTGATCAAGATGCCCAGATGACTGATGCATTAGAGGCATTTAGATTTTTTGGAATTACATAGTGGTGCTCCCGACCCTCTTAGGGATCACAGGGCACTCAATCAGAGAATTCTCTGGCACTTATCTACCACCTTTATGCTGGGCCAAGTCCCTAGACCCCAGCAGTGCATAGCATAAGCCCTTTGAAACAAGTCTGACCTAAAAAGAACACTTTGCACTTATTTAGAAACTTAGCAAGTACATACACCAGGGCTTTGTGATTCCTTAGAATTTACAACAGCTCAGTGAGGTAGGACTCTTAAATGATAGCAAATCTGTGGCCTTTTTCACCACTGGAATTTGCCAGACCTTACTGTTCAAGAGACCAGTCCTCAATAAGGGTTTTTGAAAGTAATTTTTAATTAGAAAAATAGAATTCCATAGAACATCAGTTTATATTGCAAAAGCAGTAGCATTCAAGAACATATTCAAAGATTATTGCGGTTAAATAAAATACTTGTTTCCCATTTAAAATAATAAACTACTAAACTAAGCTACAGAGGTTATAGTGGGCTGTGCCCCCACCTCCTGCTTCCTCCTTTACTTCCTCTTTCAAGCTACATTCTCATACCATCATCAGAACAGAAATCCATCATCAGGAATCATTGAACACACTGGAACACAAGTGAACAATAGTGAACACAGAACACATAACCCATCTTCCATTTTCTACTTTCCTAGCTTCTCCTTTCTTTTTGGCCCCCTCTAGCTGTTAACCAATTAACTTTTTGGAGGCTGTACGACCTCTCCCCACCTCTTATTCCCATGAGAGTGCAGGTGTTGTTTGTCTTCTGTAATAGGCTTGGAATGTTGAATCTTCCCTGGACCTCTCGACATGGCCTCAAGATATCTGAATGCTTGGTTGTAACAGTCACAGGAAAACATTCTCATAGTGCTTAAGAGAAACACATCAAAAAGTCCTTCAAATCATCTCTACACCGAACCATTCTGACTCCATTTTATATTTCTTTGACTACATCTCCATCATGACATGCTTCTAACCACATATCCCATGATCATGAGACATAGCAGTGAAACAAGATGCCATTCCTTCCACGTACATACTAAAGCAACAGGGTTTCTGGTACTGTGTGAATTAAACTGCAAAGTTTACAACTGTACAATGCTTAACTGATTTTTAAAATGACTTACAAGCTTACATAAAATATGATTAATAAACTACACCACAAAGAATAAACTGAAACATTTCAAATTATATTTTCTTTGCATTATAAGTTAAACAGCACATAAGAGAGGCTTGTACAGTTTGATTTTAGTCTAAATGGCCATGAAGTCCTGGAGTGATAATGCCTGCAGAATATTGAAGTGGGGGCTCACAGCTACTCAGTATTGTAATCTGCTAAGTCCATAGCTTCTGACTTGCTGAAGTAGAAGAGTGGTCTTAAGTGACTAGATAGGCGGGATATAAATAAAATAAATTAATAAATTAATAAAAATTGTTCTGGGGAATTTGTAGGAGTTTGCAGGTCTTACAGTTGATATATAAGTAGTGAACTTTCAATATGTGACATACAGTACTCTGAAGATTGATTTGAGAGGGCCAGTGCGCATTCTTCTGTGTAATGTAGTTAAATGATTGTTTGGTTATTTAAATAACTTAATATTAGCTAAGGTATTTATGTCTTCATATTTCTTAATGCTTTCAAAGTGATTTGTGAAGATAAAGTAATCCATATTGATTAGATTGTACTCTAAAGACTTTGGCGAGTTCCTAAAACAGTTTAGAGATGTCTTGTGTTCTCAGCTCTCCGCCCAATGAGGGAGGAAATTGATTATTCGTAGGCAGAGGAACAACTCTGTCTCTTTGTGATAATTTGTGGTAAATTATTTGGTCTTGCAAGTGTGAAGAAGTTTTCAAAAGTATGTGACAGGATTTCCAGAGGTCATTATTTGGAGACCAGTGGAGTGACTGATATTACAGCAAGATTGCTCTCACATTCAATATTTGGAGATTGTTTCTCATGGGTTTTTGTTTGTTTTTGTTTATGCTTGTACACATCTCCTTTTTAACTTTCCTCATTGAACCATTCCACAAATTATTTTGACTTTAGAAAACCATTTAGTGTATTTAAAAAAACAACACTTTTCAGAGCACTCAAACTGCTTATAAACATTTTGCAATTCAGATTGGATGGCGGTTGGCCTGAAGGTTTGCAGCCTTTAAACAATACTCTGCATTTCAACAGTCCATTGACCTACAATTATACTGGAACCTATGTTTGTAAAGTGGCCAATTCACTTGGCCAAAGAAGTGATCAGAAGACAATCTACATCTTAGGTAAGTCATATGTTTTCTGGTTTTTTTTCCCCTTTCTTTTTTTTATCATCAACACCTAAATGTTTAAATGTCTGTAAATCAATAAAATAATTCTTATAAAATATTAGTTATATTTTCCTTTCAGATGTTAGCTTAGGGGATCTCTCTATTATTTTTATGTTGCATAAAACCTGTTTTACATGAATATAGGGATGCATCTGCAGACATTCCTGGCAGAATCCACGATTGTGAGTCAACTAGACCTTTGATGATCCTTAAGGGAAAAAATGGTATACATACTGAAAGGTGTCAGCAAGATTATTATAACCTACCCATAATCTAATACGTTATCTGAAGTCAAACATGTTTTTTTTCTCTTTACTGGCAGCAGAGCTACAGTGGTTGGAACATGTTTGAGGCCTGAATAGTAGTACCTCCTCATCTAACTAAATACTTGTAGATAAATCTGAATTTGCTGTTGTGTGCCATCAAGTCACCTCTGACCCATGGCAACCCAATGAATGAGTAATCTCCAAACGGTCCTACCTCAATTGCTCTCCTCAGCTCTTGTAAACTCAAGCCAGTGGCTTCCATCTTGTATTTGGTCTTTGTCTTTTGATGCCCTTTCTCCTTTCCCAGTGTTATGTCTTTTCCAGAGAAACCTGCCTTTTTACAATGTGCCCCAAATAGGACAGTCTCAGCTTCAGCGTTTTTGCCTGCAAAGATAGTTCAGACTCTATTTGATCTAGGATCCATTTGTTTGTTTTTCTGGCAGTCCAGGGTACTGAATTTGCAAAACTCACCTGTGGCACCATGTTTCAAACAAATCCTGTCAGCTTTCTTAACTATTCAGCTTTCACACTCATGCATGATGATTGGTCTTGTTCTCCAGTGACACATCCTTACATTTGATTCTCTTTTCTAATTCACTATTGGTGATTCTTTTTCCTGCTGAGTGAAGAAGCTGGGATTGCCTGGTGACCAAGAGAAGAACAGAAAGGATTTGACTCTAGGATTCATTTTGCAATTAAATGAATTTATAATCTTTTTCAGGCCGGTCTCTTTTGACTTAAGAAACCCCATATGGTCTCTTATCATATGATCTCTTATACAATATGTGTAAACATAAAAGATTACTTCTTAGTCATTCAGAGCTGTGGAATGTATGTCCCCAGAAGTAGAGACACCAGAATCTTGTTGCCCCATATGCACAAAGCACCTGTTTCTAAGTTTGTCTTCTGTATGCCTGGTCTTCCCTAGATTGTGAAACCAATTGTATAGTTGGAAGTCCAGAAAACAAGGAAAACATTTGTGCACCTTATGCATGCTGGTTTGCAGAATGGTGTTAAGTTAGATTTTGGGCAGTATGGTTTGTTTTGTCATTTTGCAGACACTCATGTTTGTTTGTTTATTTAAACATGTTTATATACTGCCTAGTGTCTTTAGGGCAGTTAAAAATATAAAACTAAATAAAGACACCAGTTTTACAGTACACAAAAATGAATAATACAAAATGGAGTCAAAATATTAAAATTTTAGAATGTTCAAAGATGCTAAGAGGTCATGAGCTTAAAATAGTACAGTGGGGTCTCTACTTAAGAACTTAATCCATATTGGAAGGTGGTTCTCAAGTTGAAAAGTTCTTATGTTGAATCTGCATTTCCCATAGGAATGCATTGAAAACCATTTAATCCGTATCTGCTCTTTTCCGTCCATAGAAACTACAGTGGAACCTCTACTTAAGAACTTAATCCATTTTGGAATGGTGTTCTTAAGTTGAAGCAAAAATTCCCATAGGAATGGACTGAAAACCAATTAATCCGTTCTGGCTGTTTTTTTTTGTTATGTAGAGGTGCGTTCGTACATCGAAGCATTAGTTCCCATAGGAACTAATGCAAAGCTGGTTAATACGTACTCTACCACTAGGGGGAGAAATTTTTTTAACCTAAAATGACCTAAGGTTAAAAAAAGAGCAGGAAAGGTTTTTTTTCCTGTTCCCATCTTGGATTTCTGTTCTCAAGTAGAGGCAAAATTTAGCAAATGGAGCTGTTCTTAAGTTGGATTGTTCTTAAGTAGAGACGTTCTTAAGTAGAGACCCCACTGTAAAGCCAAAAATAAAATTCAGAGACTAAATGCTTAATTAGGAAGATCCTTTGTGTTGCAGCTGAACTATACTAATCAGGTTGCTAGATGGATCCCTCTTAATATGGGGATCTGCTATGCTATACCAAGGCTGGGTCATTTCTGAGAAAGCTATTTCTGTAGTAGCCTAGCTGTCCATTGTTTCATCATAAGTAGTGGCACCCAGAGAGGATGCTCCAAGGGTTATACTAGTTTGGGGGCAGAATATACAAGAACAGGTAGTCATTTGGGTAAACTAGTCCTAAGTTATTTAAAACTCTAAAGTTTAGTACTAACATCTGGAAGTCGAGTCATGGCAACTGAACTTCCAGATAGCCTCACTTGGAAGACTGAGAATCTTCACAGATTCACTACCGACACTTTGACTGGGACATAGAAATTGACTGTATCATGTCATCAACAGATGATTCATGCAGTAAAGATAGGTCAGAGTTTTCCAAACCCAATGTGGGAGAAAAGTTGCCACATCAAGGATATTCTGAACTCCAGAGACCTAGGAGGCCAAATCTCCAGGTTACTGTAGACCCTTCAGTACCAGAAGTTTGAATCCCCACATGAAGGGGTTCTTTGGGACTCTGGGGCAGAGTCAGAGGAGATTGAATTCCCATGTGAGGACTACAGATTAAAGGTACAAGCCTCGAGAGCGGCTACAAGAAGAAATGTTTGGCTGCAAGGTTCACTTTAAGCTGGCTGTACATGCATGCGACTCCACCTACCTCTGCTCAGGTCTCTTCCTCCTTCGCATAGCAACCACATTTGTTTCCGGTTATGATGAGAGGGGCAGAGGCACATGTGCAGGGGTGAAGTCCTGCAAGAGAGAGGCAGATCCCCACCCAGCGGGGCTGAAAATTAGAGGGTACATTGTTTGGCTTCAGGGAAAGTCTCCTTGGTAGAGATCTACTAGCTAGTCAAATGAAATCAGGGAGCAGCTCAGGCAGTCATGCTATTTAAAAGGCTTTAGTTGGTATTGTGAGCCAAAAGAAACAGTATCTCTACTGGTTCATGATCTTCCTTCCCTTACATCTGGTCTTGCTGCTTACTCCTTGATGTATGTGACCTCTTGGATTGCTTTACTGTGCTTCTTTGTTTGCTTGCATGATTCTTGGACTTTGACTCCAAATATCTTGCACTTAGTTTATCTTGCATGCAGATAAGCGTCTGCTTGCTGGACCTGAAACTACCCCAACCTCAGGAATAGGACAAATTGGTAACCAGTGCAGTTGATCCAACACTATGGTGATATGCTTAAAACAGCCATTGCCAGTAAGAAGCCTTGCTGTGCTATTTTTCATTAACTGGATGGACCATCAAAAAAAATTCATTCAGGCAGGAAGTTACCAGGGCATGAATATCTGCAACTAAGCTATTTCTGTGCCATTAGGGGTGTCTTTAGTAGATCAGCCAAAGTTTATAAAATCCACTCCTTATCATTGAGGCTGCTTTGGCCTCAGATAATAAAGTAAGATCTATGAATACCCCATTTGTTTTATCAAATCAAGCACAGATTCAGGATAATCTGTTAAATCTATAGATCTATTAAAATATAAGAGTTAAAGTGAACCCATGAACAGAGGTATCCAACTACTCAGCTTCCATCAGTTAGCTTTCACATGTGTGAACTAAATTTGAAGAGTAGAGTAGTTTCTACGTGTGGGGATCTCCACACTATTGGGATTTCATGACTGCAGAAAAAAAAGCTGTGTTACTTGTGTTAAATGTCAGGGTGGGCAATAAGAATCACTTCTGTCTTCATTTTGTCTAAATGTCTGCAGGGTGTTGTACATTACACTCTAGATTGAATGAAAATCTACTGAAATCTATAGAACAGCAGTAAAATATGTAGGTGTGGATTGATTTCTCAGCTGGTTTTTGTTTTTTTGTTTTTGTTTTTGGTAGCAGGGCTCTGAATTAATTCCAGCATATTTTTCTTTGAAAATACTTTTTTAAATTTGTTACTCAGATCTGATTCTGTCACGGGCATAGTGATGCCAGTAGGCATATATAGCTTGTGACCGTGATGGAGAGTGCCCCCAGATGTTGAGCTCATCCCGGCCTTGTTCATAAGGTGTCCCTGCCATTAGGAGAATAATGGTGACTACTTCTATGCCCTTATTTCATAGTGCTCTCTGTTGCTGCCCAGGCAGAAGAGGAGATCAAAACCAACAAAAGTCTTGTGCCCCACTAAAGACTTAACAAGCTTTAACTGGCATCAGCTTTCATGCACTGTAGCCCGCTTCATCAGCGATCCATAAAACCTTATGGCAGCAAGACACATTTGTCTGTAAGTTTCTTCAAGACTTTTGTTGAAACTTAATATGCCTATTTCCTCAAGGAATTTATGTGGTGGGAAAGCTGTTTCTGTTTGCTTTGGAGGAAAGAAACATGGGTTTTTCAACATGCCAGTTGTTTCCAAATGGGTATCTATATTAGTCTTTGAAGCGTTCACCCCTCAGTTGCCTTTGACTGCTACTAAAGATAAACTCGCCAAAAAATCTGCAAGTTTAAAGAAAACCTCCACCTCGACGTCGAAGGCATCTTCCACTGCCTTCGTTAAGAGCACCAAACAAGCCAAATCAAAATCCATCTGAGGATTTTTCTTTCCTATGTGCAAATGGTGTCTAGAAAGGCCAAGACACTCAAGATGCACACAGAACAAACCAACCTACCATCTGAGGACTTAATTTTTGGCGATATTAATCAAGAGCATATCCCACCGCTCAGCTTAGCGTTTATTCCTGCCCTTATGGACTTGATAAAAGATGCTTGGAGGCAACCATCTACATCTACACCCGTTTCAAGACTTACAGAAAATCTATACCGTGTCCATGGAGAAAACACCAATTATCTACTGAAACATCCTGTTCCTAATTCTCTAATAG